CCCCCGCCCAGAAAAAAAAGTTTCAAAATTTTCCTGAAAAGCATGTTTGCCAGATCGCGGCAAAACTTTGCGCAATCGAGCGTGTCTTGTGCGTCGTGTCGCGGAGTGAAAAGTAATAGAGTCATTCACATCCCCCCCCCCTTTCTCTCTCTCCTCGGCTACAACACGTTTATGAAAGCGTTGGTTCGCTCCTTGGCGCGCTTCTCCTGCCGCGCCCCACCACGCCGCGCCACGCCCTTCTAGGACTATTTCTAGGTGAGGGGAGACGAGCCGAGGCTCCATTGCGTGTGATTACTGCGGCCTTACTTGTGGCGCCTCGCCGTGTCTAGGACTCTAGGATAGGCAGGCGCATCAGCAGCTCGCCTAGACGCCGCCGCTAGAACGCGTTCCCGCCACTGAATGATGCACCCCGATGGCAGCGGGAGGGCGGCGGGGGAGGGAGGGAGTTCGTATGTATTAGCCTCTGGGACTTCGTTAGCTGCTCAACAGGTAGGACGGCTCAGGCCAGGAGGCAGTCTGGGAGCCTCGGAGGCTGGCTATCCAGCTCCACGATAACATTCCCCCTTTTCGCCGTCTTTCCCGGTCGCCCGCAGCGCCACCCCCGCCTCCGTTACGCAGCGGTTCCCGCAGTCATTTGTCAGAGGTGGAGACACGCGTGAAGTTGGACACGACTTGGCCATATCGCCGCCCCATAGTACGTGACGTGGAGGGGGGGAGGGTGCGGGGGCGTCATACATGCACAAGCGCAGGCCGAGGGGAAGGGGGGACGCGGAAAAGAAACGCACCTCACGATGACGACCGAGTGAGCGAGCGGAGAAAATTGTCACTGCCGAATCACTTAGCGCGCGCTCGAGTCTGGCCCACAACTGTTGCACTGTGTGGCCGCGGCCATGGGGGAAAGGGGGCGCGGGCGCGGGGGCTTAAAAGCTTCGGCGGAGGAGCCTGGGAAAGGGAAAGGGTTGGCTGTGGGGCGGCCGGAAGGGCGCGCCTAACCCAAGCGATTTCACGGGCCGCGTGAGGCACACAATAGAAGCACCATGTCGCGGCCCAAAACCCAGCGGCGGAGCCTGTTGCGCCCTCCGTTGAGGGGCTGGAGGGCGGTGCGGTGGGGGGGG